TTATATATATTTTATATATTTTATATATTATATATATTATATATTATATATAATATAATTATATTGTGTATATTATATATATAATATATATATTATATATATTATATATATACTTTATGCTGTTCATTTACTTCATTTCTTATTTTTATGCATCTTCATACTTTTGTTTATTTTGCTTCCCTGCTTCTATTGTCTCTGTCGGGGCTTGCTTGTTTGTCTCTCTTGTTTGTCTCTCTTGTTTGTCTCTCTTGTTTGTCTCTCTTGTTTGTTTGTTTGTTTGTTTCTTTGTTTCTTTGTTTGTCTGTTTGTTTATTTCTGTCTTTGTTTGTCTCTCTTTTGCTGTTATGTTGGGGTGTATATTTGTCTCTGTTTGTCTCTGCTCTCTTCTTTGTTTATCTCCTTCTTTGTTGTGTTGCTGTTTGTTTGTCTTTGTATTTATTTTCATTTAGAATCTGTTTGTTTTTATTTAATCACTCAGTGCTGTTGCTGCTGCTGTTGCTGCTGCTGCTGTTGTTGTTGCTGCTGCTGTTGTTGCTGCTGCTGCTGTTGCTGCAGGCGTCGCCTACTCCACGACTGCAGCAAATCACTTAGCAACAGCAGCAGCAACAGCAGCAGCAGCAGCAAAGGAAGCAGGCCCTACAGCAGCAGCAACATCTCCAGCAACAGCATCATCAGAGCCAGCAGCCGCACCGGAGTCAGCAGCAGCACCAGAGTCAGCAGCAGCAGCAGCAGCAGCAGCAGCAGCAGCAAAGCCGCAGCAGCCTGTTCTAGTAAGTGAAGCATTTGCCCGTGCTACAGAAGAGGGACTGCCTGCACCAGACAAAGTCTTCTTCCTCGATATAACCCCCAAAGAAACCAAACTAAGAGACGGATTCGGTAAGACACTGCAGCAGCAGCAACAGCAGCAGCAGCAGCAGCAGCAACAGCAGCAACAGCAGCAGCAGTAGTAGTAGTAGTTGCTGTTGTTGTCGTTGTGGTAATAGTAGCAGGAGTAGCAGCAGCAAAGGAGTAGCAGCAGCAAAAGCAGTAGTGGTAGTGGTAGCAGCAGCAGCAGCAACAGCAGCAGCAATAGCAGCAGCTGCAGCAGCAGAAGCAGCAGCAGCGGCCTCGTTTGTGTTGTTTTGTTTCGAATAAGTGGAGACAGTATTACGTCTACTGCTTTTGTTAATGATGCTGATGCTTGTCTTTATTCTATGTCTTTGTGTGTCTCTGTATTTGTTTTATTTGTCTGTCTTTGTCTTTGTTTTTCTCTGTCTACTCCTCTGCTGCTGTTGTCTGCTGCTTTTGTTGCTGCTTTTGCTGCTGCTGATACTTGTGTAAATAATAAATCTGTCTCCTGTCTCCTTTGTCTTCGTTGTCTCCTCTTGTCTCTGCTGTCTCCTCTGTCTCCTCTGTTTCCTTTGTATTTATTTTTTGTCTCCTTTATCTCCTCTATTTCCTTTTGTCTCTGTTGTCTCTGCTGTCTCCTCTGTCTCTTCTGTCTCCTTTGTGCTTATTTTCGCTGTCTCCTTTATCTACTTTGTCTCTGTTGTCTCTGTTGTCTCTGTTGTCTCTGTTGTCTCCTCACTGTCTCCTCTCTGTCTCCTCTCTGTCTCCTTTATATCGCCTTTGTGTATCTGTTATGTTGTCTCTCTTGGTGTCTCCTCACTATTCTATCATAATAAATACACACAAATATATATATATATTAGTAAATATACAATATATATATATATATACATATGTATACCTATATATATATATGCATATATATATATATGCATATATATACATATTTATACATATACATAAATATTATATATAGTATTTATACATATATATACGCATATGTATATATATATATATATACAAACATATATATAAATATATATATAAATATATATATATATATAAATATATATATTTGTGTTTATTATGATTAGGCGGGGAAGTGTATGAGGCCCCCCTGCTGCAGGAGTTGGTGTATGAGGGGTATAAGAGTTTTTCGTCGCTTTCATACTGGCAGCAATTAACTGTCTCCTCTCTGTCTCTTGAAGAAGTACATCAGCTAATATGCAGACATGTGTGTCTCCTCTTTGCTTCTATTAATAAAGAAGAAGAAGCAAAACTAAGCAAGGATAAGCATCAAACACAAACACAACTTCACACACGCAGGAGACTCCTTTGGGATTAAACTCCTGCTGCTGCTGCTGCTGCTGCTGCTGCAGTTGCTGCTGCAGCGGAGTCTCTTGCTGTAGTGGCTGCTGCAGCTGTTGCTGCACCAGATTCTCCTGTTGCAGTTGTTACAGCAGGTGCTGCTACAGCGGCTTCTCTTGCTGCAGCTGTTGCTGCAGCAGGCGCTGCTGCAGCACTTTGCTGCTGCAGCAAGTGCTATAGAGGGCGAGAGGGTATTTCTTTGTAAATGCCTCTGCTCATAGACAGCTGCGAGTCTAATAGAGATACTTTTCTGGGGTTTGTTTATGCATTTTTAATACGGATTTGTTTATATATTTGCATATATGGGTAGTCTGTCTGTCTATATATATATATATATATATGTAGATGTACATATATATATGTATATGTATATATATATATATATATAAAGACAAGACATATTTATTAATTATTACGTCTGAATTAATTAAGGCCCAAGAGAAAAACACCAGGAGGAGGAGGAGACAGTAAAGAGAAGAAGAGATGCACAGACACCCCAGACTAGAGACACAAAACAGCAGCAAAAAAGGAGACACATAACTCCCCCTTTGTTGTGGGGCCCCTGGGGGCCCCACAACAAAGGGGCCCCCAGGGGCCCCCTTAGTTGAGGTGTCTCTGTCTCCATTTGAGGTGTACATACACCCTAAACCACGCAGAGACAGACAACCAAGATTTAAAGGCCTCTGCCCTACTAAAGATGTTGGGGGGCCTCTTCTTGGGGGCCCCCAAGGGGCCCCCTTATATACACACAACCCTTTATTACTGAGAGGGGGGCCCCCTTATATACACACATCTCCTTAGTACTAAGACGGGGGCCCCCTAGGGCCTCTTCGCTAATTACTTTCTGCAGCAAAATCAAACAAAGCGAAGTTTCTCAACTCCGCTCTTCTAATAAGTGATAAACGAATTAATAAATTAATCAAAAATACTAAGAGGGGCCCCTAGGGGGCCCCCGGGGGCCCCTTGGGGGCCCCTCTGGGGGGCCCCCTATCTCGATTTGTTTTTTAGGGTTTTCTTTCTTGAGCGAGCTTCCATGCATTGTTTTTTTGTGTATTTCTTTGAAATATTATAATTATAGTTTTAGAATAATGTTTAAATAATACTTCTTTATATCTTTTTGTTTGTTTCTTGCTGAGGTTTACATCGATAGAAGAAGAAGGGGGGGCCCCTCCTGCAGCTAGGAGACCCTAAAGCAATGCCTTTGCTTCCTTTAAAGGCATTGGGGGCCCCCCACCTTTGCTGCTACTGCAGGGCCTCCTCTATTCTCTCATCTAGAAGCAGGGGCCCCCTGGTGTTGTCTCTATGTGGGGGGCCCCCCGGTAGTTGTTTATCGAAGGCAAGTGCTAGTAGAGGGGGCCCCCAGGGGCCCCCCTTTCCTCGTTCATACGAACCCCCACTAGAACCTTCTTTAGGGGCCCCTATGAGGGGCCCCCTTCCCTTCTCTTACGTTCCTCTTAAGGCTGAAGCTGGGGGCCTCCTCTGTATAAACAGGGGGAGCCCCCCTATAAACTCAATCCTCGCAGATAGGGGCCCCCTTCAGAGAGCAGCAAAATCAGATATAGCGCAGCTGCCGCCCTGGCGCCGCTGGCAGCCAAAGCGGAGGCCCCGATGGATCTACGGCACTATGGGGGCCCCTGGGGGGGCCCCTGGGGCCCCCGGGGGCCCCCATAGTGGGGGCCTAGAGGAGTTATTGAGAGCAGCAACTGTCTCCTTCTTGCTAAAGGTGCAACCCCTGATTGGGGGGCCCCTACCTGGGGGCCCCCCAACCAAGGAGTGTCTTAAGGAGACATCTTTTAAGAGTAAGGATGAAGAGGAGGCCCTGGAAATCCTTTGGGGGGCCCTCCAAGGGTATTCATTTGCTGTGGGGCCCCCAGGGGGCCCCCATGGGCCCTCGTTTAGCAACAATTTTGTGTTTGTTAAGCCCCAGAGGGGAGAGAGGGGCCCCCCCTTGGCTGTGCCACGCCTTGCTTCTCTCGTTGCTGCTGCAGGCCCCCGTATAGGGGCCCCCGTCCCTGGGGGGGGCCCCACAGCAGCAGAAGAAGAGGCTCTTGCAGCAGCAGTTGAGTTTGTTTCAGAGGTGTTTCCCTTCCTTGCAGACTTCTGGGGATCGGGCGATCCCAGGGCGGTTGCTGCTGTCTTGCTGCAGGAGATAGAGGAGTTGCTGCCGCTGCTAGAGGCCCCGGGGGCCCCCCAGGGGCCCCTCAGGGCCTCCCAGCTGCTGCTAGCCCTGGGGGCCCCCTGTGGGGAAGCAGCAAGCGAACCCAAACCCTTGCTGCCCCCCCATCTCAAACTCTACAAGGTGCAGCAGCAGCAACGCCGCCTGCTGCTGCTGCTGCAGCAGCACCGCAACACCCTGCAGCGCCTTATGGAAGTGGTGCTGCTGCCGCGCGCACCCCCCTGCAGCAGCAGCAGCAGCAGCAACAGCAGCAGCAGCAGCGGGGGTGTGCATGCAGCATCCCTTGTGCCTTTGTTGCAGTTATATTTCCAAGCGGGGCTGCAGTCTCCTGCTGCTCTTCTGGTGCTGCTAGAAGCAGCAACAGGATTAGAAGGCCCTGGGGTGTATATGGGGGCCCCCCTACCGGGGGCCCCCAGGGTACTAGGGGGCCCCCCTTTGTCTGTTGAGGATCTCCTCAAGGTGCTGCGCCTCCTCGTTGGATATACTAACCCTTTAGAAGGTCTTCAGGGGGCCCCCAGGGGGGCCCCCTTGGTAGCTACTGCGTCGGCATGCTCCGCAACAGCAGAGCATAAACAAGCAGCTACAACAGCAGCAGGTGCACCAGCAGCAGCAGAAGCAGCAGCAGCAGAAGCAGCAGCAGCAGAAGCAGCAGCAGCAGCACGTTACAAGGAGCGCGTTGGGGTTTGCTTCTTGCTGCTGCTGGATCGCCTGGGGCTGCTGCTGCAGACAGACTTTGATGTCTGTGGGGAGGAGGGGGTGGCGGGCCTCTGCAGCACATTAAACAAAATGAAGAAAAAATACAACGCAAAAAGGAGACGCCAAATCGATCTAGCAGCAGCAGCAGCAACAGCAGCAGCAGCAGCAACAGCAGCAGCAGCAGCAGCTACAGCAGCAGAAGCAGCAGCAACCAGTGCGGGAAATACATCTGCAGCGTCCGAGCTCTCTTCCTCTGCAGCACCAGCTCCATCACCAGCTGCAGCAGCAGGTCCCCTGCTGCGTCCTTTTCACGAGGTGCTGGACATATGGAGGCGTCCTCTGGGCTCTGCTCTTCTTGCTGAGTTGCCTTTGTTAATTCATTCATATAAATACTTCTCTCTAATTGATATTGCCGAATTCCTATGGGAGTGGGGCCCCCAAGGGGGCCCCCAAGGGGCCCCCTCCCTCCCCAGCCCCTTCTACCCCCATCCGCTTCTCAAAAGTACGGGTACAAGGCTGGGGAGGGGCCCCCTGGGGGCCCCTTTGGGGGCCCCTTCGGGGGCCGCTGTGGGGGCCCCTTTGGGGGTGGCCTCGGGGGCCCCTTTGGGGGCCGCTGTGGGGGCCGCTGTGGGGGCCCCTCTGGAGGCCTCTTCAGGGGCCCTTTCAGGGGCCCCAGTGGGGGGCCCTTTGGAGGCCCCTTTGGGGGCCCCTGATCGAAGCAATGTTGGGGGCCTCTTTGGAGCTGTGGTTGGGGAAGAGAGCGTTGAGGAGAGACAGGAAGGAGACATCAGAGAGAAGGAGACAGCTGCTGCTGTTGCTGCTGCTGTTGTAGACCTGCAAGAAAGAGTTGCGGGGGAGACTTGGAAGCTGATTGGCGGTATGAAGTATGGATACACCGCAAAGGCTCTCAAGGTAAACCCTAAACCCTAAACCCTAAACCCTAGACCTTAAAGTTGCACTCCCTTACCTCGGACAACTTGCTGCAACACGTTTTGGGTTTAGGGTTTAGGGTTTAGGGTTTAGGGTTTGGGCTATGAGAAGGTCGCGGAGTCCGGCTTTAAGCGACTCTCATGCGGCTCTGCACCAAACCCTAAATCCTAAACCCTAAACCCTACTCCTTAGACCCTAGATTCTAACCGCGAAGCCCTAGACCTTATACCCTTCGCACCTAAACCCTAAACCCTAAACCCTAAACCCTAGATGTTGCATGCATGTGCATGCAGCTGTTTGGGGAGATGGAAGTGTATGACCGACGTTTATTTCGCGGTTTGCTGCGACATCTCCCGAAGATATTTCATTTTAATTGGGAGGGAGATTTTGTTGCTGCTGTTTTTGTTGCTGCAGCAACAGCAGCAAAGACATGTAGGACCTTGTGTCTCCTCTCTTATTAACACTTGCTGTCTCCTTTTCTCCTTTTCTTCTTTCTGCTGCTATATCCAATGCGCTCTGTCTCCTTAGCTACTTTCAGGCTGTCTGTCTCCTCCCTTTGCGCGTCTCTTTATCTGTCTCTTTATCTGTCTCTTTATCTGTCTCCTTATCTGTTTCCTTTTCTGTCTTTATGAGCGATGCCCTCTTCTTCCTTTGCGTCTTCTTCGTTCCCCTTAAACTGCAAGCAGCTTTAGCTTCTGTCTCCGTCTCTCTGTCTCTCTTTCTCTCTGTCTCTCTTTGTCTATCTCGGTCTACCTCTCTGTCTCTCTTTATCTCTACCTCTGTCTCTCTTTATCTCTACCTCTGTCTCCCTTTGTGTCTCTCTGTCTCTGTCTCTCTCCCTCTTTGTCGCTATCTCTGTCTCTGTCTCTGTCTCTGTCTCTCTCTGTGTCTCTCTCTATCTCCCTCTGTCTCTGTCTGTCTGTCTGTCTGTCTGTCTGTCTGTCTGTCTGTCTCTCTCTCTCTCTCTCTCTGTCTCTGTCTCTCTCTCTGTCTCTCTCTCTGTCTCTGTTTCTCTCTCTGTCTGTCTCTGTCTGTCTCTGTCTGTCTCTCTCTGTCTCTGTCTGTCTGCCTCTCTCGCTGTCTCTTCTTTCTGTCTCCTTCTGTCTTTGTTATTCGTCTCTTTTGTCTCCCTTTGTCTCTGCGCCCGTTTTGATTATTTTTTTTTCTTTTTGTCTCCGTCTCTGTCTCCTTTCTCCCATTTCAACTGTCCCCTTAAGTGTTAGCTGTCTCCTCCAAGGTCTTAGGGTTTAGGGTTTAGGGTTTAGGGTTAAGGGTTTGTGTTTGTATGTAGATCGTCTGCCCCAGCGTCGCGAGCACAAAGGCATTCAGGTAGCCCCTTATCGTCTTTTCGTTAGGCTTGCTGCATATCTACAGCATCCGAGTTTCTATAGAAGGGCCCCCCCTCTTACTTCTCTAAGGGGGCCCCTGGGGGCCCCCAGTGGAGGGGCCCCCAGAGAAGGGGCCCCCAGAGGAGGGGGCCCCAAGGGAGGGGCCCCCTGGGGGCCCCCCTTGGGGGATTCTGAGGGGGCCCCCAGCGAGGCGACTGCTGCGGGTATTAAGAGGGCCCCTGAAGGTGCAGCAGCAGAGCATGCAGGAAGAAGTAGGAGGGGGGCCCCCCTTGTTGGGGGCCCCTCAATGGGGGCCCCTCGTGTGGGGCCCCTTGTGGGGCCCCAAAGGGGGCCCCCAAGCCGTATGGGTCGGCGACGGCTTCCACTTTTGTTTGAAGTTAGCAGCCCTGAACTTTGCTGCCAGGTTGTTGCGTCTGCATGCGCTTTGGGGCTTCCTCTGCTGCACTTATATCGTTTAGTTGTTTTAAGGGCAGCTAAAGAGAAAGGGTTTTTTCACTTGGAGCACCTTATTTCTCTCGCTAAGTAAACCTGCTGCTGCTGCTGCTGCTGATGCTGCTGCTGCTGCTGTTGCTGCTGCTGATGCTGCTGCTGCTGCTGTTGCTGCTGCTGTTGCTGCTGCTGGTGTTGGTGGTGGTGGTGCTGCTGCTAGTGGTGGTGGTGGTGGTGCTGCTGCTGCTTCTGTTGCTGGTGCTGCTGTTGTTGCTGCTGTTGTTGCTGCTGTTGCTGCTGTTGCTGCGGTCTCCTCTGTTTCAGGGTTGCTGCAGCGTGCTGCTGTTTGTATATTTGTCTCCTTTCTCTGTATCATTGTCTATATATATATACATGTATATTATATATTTATATAAATATAATATATATTATATATGTACTTGTATATATATATATATACATATATATTTATATATATTTGTCTTTTAATTATTTGTTTCTGTCTCCATTTTCATTTCTGTGTCTCCTCTTGCTGCAGGGATTTGTTGAGTGTGGGGTTTGGGGCTGATGCGCTGCTGCAGCAGCTGCAGCAGCAGCTGCAGCAGCAGTTGCACCAGCTCCCTCTTTGCTCTCCTGCAGCAGTTGCTAACCTCGGCCTCGTTCTTGGGGCCGGGCCCTATAACGACTCAGCAGCAATAAGGGCCCTCATAGAAACCCTAACTAGCAGGTTAGAAGGGCTTAGGGTTTAGGGTTTAGGGTTTAGGGTTTAGGGTTTAGGGGGTAGGCAGGGTTTAGGGTTTAGGGTTTACGGTTTTACTGAGCATTTATAAGCTGCCTTCTCAGCATAAACATGCGGGCCAAACGCACGTTTATGGGTTTAGAGTTTAGGGTTTAGGGTTTAGGGTTTAGGGTTTTGCTGCTGCAGATATGCCCTGCTGCCGTCTGCGTACTATGAGCCTCTAGACGCGGAGTGGTCTCGCTTGGTAGCAGCAGCAGAGAAGCAGCTGCTGCTGCCTGCAGCAGCAGCAGAGAAACAGCTGCTGCCGCCTGCAGCAGCAGCAGCACCCCCAACAGCAGCAGCACAAGCTCTCCTTGCTCCGCAGGAGACAGACGACACTGTGGCTTACGAAGAGGCAGCAGCAGTGATGCAGCAAACTGCTGCTGCATCAGCAGCAGCCTGCGTGCAGCTGGTAGCTTCGCACCTACAACAGCAGCAGCAGCAGCAGCAGCAGCAGCAGCAGCAACAGCAGCAGCAGCAGCAGCAGCCATTGGTGTGGTTGTCTTGTGGGTCGCTGCCGTTTACTCCTATGCCCGAGTTGCTGCTGCTGCTTGTGGGGCTCGTGCGGCTGCGCTGCAGCAGCAGCAGGCTACTGGAGTCGCTTAGCAGCATCCTCAGCAGCAGCAGCAGCAGCAGCAGCAGGAGCATCACGCAGCAGATCGAAGCCAGCCATCTCCCCACCCTTTTAGTTTGTCTCTGCAACGCCTGCTGGCTGTCGCTGCCCCCCTTAGAGAATCTATGCGCAGCAGTAGGCAATCTCCTTCCTAAGGTAAATTCACACCCGTCCTAGGGTTTAGGGTTTAGGGTTTAGGGGGTGGGGGTTGGGGTTTAGGGTTTAGGGGATGGGGGTTGGGGTTTAGGGTTTAGGAGATGAGGTTTAGGGTTTAGGGTTTAGCGTTTAGGGCCAGGGTTGGCAGCTCGATAAACTATGTAGGCTTGTCGCCTTGAGGTTTAGGGTTTAGGGTTTAGGGTTTAGGGTTTAGGGTTTGCGGGTTGTACTCAGCTTCTCCCTCACATCTCGGATGCTGAGCTTCCTCCTTTGTTGTGGGGCTACGTATCTCTGCTGCACTCGCGGTATTTGCTGGCAGCAGCAGCAGCAGCAGCAGCACCAGAAGCAGCAGCAGTAACACCAGGAACAACAGCTGCAGCAGCAGCAGCAGATGAGCCTGCTGCTGCTGCTGCTGCTGCTGGTTCTGCTGCTGCTGCTGCTGGTGGTATTTCGTTGCCTCCGGCTTTGCTTGAGGCGCTGCTTCGATTTGTAGGGAGCGCCCGGGCCTTAGAGAGTCCCCATCACCATTTGCTGCAGGTCAGCAGCAGCAGCAGCAGCAGCAGCTGCAGCAGCAGCAGCAGCGGCGGCAGCGGCGGCGGTGGTGGTTTTCTGTTGCTGTCTCCTTTGACTGTCTCTCGCTGTCTCTTTTGCTTGGCGTCTCCTTTTATTTGTTCTTG